ATTTACTGCAATGTATTTTATTTGTACTTCATTATTGTCACAAGACACAATTGATCATATATATGGGTATGTATGTTATGTTTTTAATTAAAGATTAAAAAATCTAAATCTTCAGCGTGCCGTGAAGAACATTTTTGAGTCACATTGCTGTGATAACCATTACCGGTATAGTTTCCCGAGGGAAATTTTTAGTGTGCCAAAGCACATTTTGAGTTWCACTGCTGTGATATCTGGTCTCCCGAAGCTGGTTCTGAGCTCCATTTCTTTAATTACTGATCTCGTGTAAGCCAAGCGATGCAATCGAGATTTTTGTTGGAACACAAACTACATAAAGTGCCCAAAAATCTGAACAATTCTTAAGAAATACTATAAATTTACAAATGCATAGATAGTTTTGCCTAGTTCTAGAACTCATCTTCGAAGCAACACACCAGTCAGAGAGAGCACATGAAGGACAGTAATCGCGTTTTCCTAGCCTTCGTTCCCTTAGCCAGCTGCATCTCCTTGACAAYGATCACATATTTTGATAACCGCTAGGAGCGCCTGCTTCAAGTGGAATTGTTACAACTCTTTCACTCAGACCCGATAACATAGTGACGAAAGCCTTCCCAGAAGGCCTTTCGTCACAAAAAGCCTTCCCAGAAGGCCTTTCGTCACAAAAAGCCTTCCCAGAAGGCCTTTCGTCACAAAAAGCCTTCCCAGAAGGCCTTTCGTCACAAAAACACAATGTCCATTAATTTAACATTGATTCTTCTGCAACGTTATAAGAAATTTATTATATTTCCTTGGCATTTTCAACAGATCTCACAGCTAGCCACATGCAGTCAACGACTGCCTTTAATTTATGTAGTCTCGAAAACGTGGGCATTAATTTTGAAGATTAATGTTTTGCCATATCCTGTTGGCATAATTCCTTTCGATGATATCAATTAGAGTCATCTAATATACAAAAAACAAATGTGTAACATCAATTATTCTTTCAATTCAAAATAGAAAATCTATTTCCCAAACAATGTGAAGCGAGAGATGACAGAGAGAGATAATCGTGTATTGAAAAAAAAAATCACTTTGTAGTCGCAAGACTAAATTACGTGTCCATATATAATATAATACACTACAATATATAAATAAAATTCTGTCTAAAATTTGAATTTGATCTGTACAATTAAAAGTCACTTAAAAATTTGTGCTGCTTGGTGTTCTATAAAAAAATGTTTTAAGTCTATCAGTTTTTGGTTTGATGTCGTACAATTTTGATCTTCTTAGATTATAAATGTTTTCTTTTCTTGTTGGTGGTAGTATACTAGCCAGCTTATGGGAATTGTCGTTTTCGATGTCTTTAAGTAACGTTCCGTGTAAGAAGTAGGCATATTTGGCCTGTGTGGTGCGAAACAGCCGTTTGAAAAATTAATCCCCTAYGTCATTAACCCAATTACATCTACGGACCTGATTGGATAACAGTGTCGMAAGCGGGAATTTCAAATTTCAAAGACGATTTAACATTAGAAGACAAGAGTTTTCACATACTTTTTGTAGACATTTATTATAAATAATACCAAAACTACACACACGAAAAATTTCTTAAAAATGAAATGGGGAACACAGTTAAGCATCGCGTTATTCTTCGCTAATGTTTGTTGTAACGAGTAACATGAACCTGTTCCATTGTTTCTTGTGGTTATATGATTTCCGGTCGCTATAAAAAGAATCGAGCTACAATAGAACGATTTCACATAAGCGTATTTTATATGCAAATAAGTTTTGACCAAGCCACATTCTTYATTGGCAAACATAAGATGTGWATATAATGTGTATTAATCTCAAGAGTAAACATTGGCTCTCTTYACATTTCAATATTGCATTAACAATATAAATGAAAAAAATTCTGGAAAACGCGAACAGTTGCAAACCACGCTTGCCAAGTTTAGTCGAGGAGCACAGTCTAGTTCTTCCCAATCTGGATTTTCAGGTTTTATATGACGAATTACAATATCCTCTTGAATTTCAAACTTTCTTGATCTTCTTCAACGACTTCTGCTGGATCACACTGTATAAAAGTTGAGAATTTGGGGTCAGGACATCTTCAGTTGGTCGTACTTTGATTCAAAAAACATCATATAACACATGAATTTACGAACTATGAGTGTTGTTTAAAAAGGCTTACCTTATACACTACACTCTGGATCACTTTCACAAGACATGGAGATTGCTTTCCTTCAAACTTTTCAGAAGTTTATTCACTGTTTGTCAATAAGAAAAGCCGTCTTTCTTCCGCCGAATTTTCAAAACTAAATACAACGCTGATCGATAAAAAAGGCAAACTAGGGACCGATAGTTCGAATCGATTGATAAAATCAACACAATGGAT